GGGGGGGGGGGGATCAAATACGTTCTTTAGTAATGGGGTTATTTGTCAAATTACAGCCAGGGAACACATTCACCAGCTCGCTGACTGTCAATGAATGAAATGAGTTGTTTTTTAATTCTCTCACTGACATAAAGGCGTTTTGGCTAATTCTACCATCACTCCTGAGTCTGAGAAATGACTCATAAAAATGAGGCTGATTGTTGGGCTTAACTCTGCTCACAAAGAGCTCACTGACTGACCCAACAAATACGGAACTGGGCACAAAATAAGAAGCTTCTTATGATACAGGCACCACCCCAGGAAGAAAATAGTTTATTTAGAATCGTGAGATAAACCTCACCCTAACTGTCCACCCTCGAACTTTAAAGAACATGGAAAACACTTCCTTCAGCTGTGTAGTTTTGAAAAAGTAAACGGTAGATTTTTATGTGGGGACAGGAAAAATCTCCATATTAAATAGGAAAAAGCAATAGGTAGCAGTTTCACATTAGTTCCTACTACCAAATACACCTGGCGCAGCTGTCAGCAACAGCAAAACCCCCACAAAGTTTGCCAAAAGGAAAGGAAAGTCAGTCTGGGGAGACAGGGCAAGCGTCAAAGGTATGACACAGATATTGGGATTATCAGACAAAACTTTTTTTAAAAAAATATTTTTACTGATTTCAGAGAGAGAGGAAGGGAGAGGGAGAGAGAGAGAAACGTCAATGATGAGTGAGTCACTGATCGGCTGCCTCCTGCACTCCTCCTGCTGGGGATCAGGCCTGCAACCCAGGCATGTGCCCGGACGGAGAACTGAGCTGGGATCTCCTGGATCACAGGCCGATGCTCAACCACTGAGCCATGCCGACTAGGCTCAGACAAAACTTTTAAATAACTATGTTTACTATATTAAGGGCTCTCATGGAAAAGGTAGACAAAATGCAGCAGTAAATGGGTTATAAAGCACAGAGATGGAATTGAAAACAATGATCACAGTAAATGCTAGAATAAAAACACTGCGAAGAATGAAGAATGCCTGTGTTAGGCTCATCCAAAGACTGATCACAGCCAAGAGAAAACTTAGTGAGCCTGAAGACAGGTCAACAGAAAGTTCCCAAACTAAATATGAACAACAACAACAAAAAACAGAATTTTTTTAAAAAAGAACATCCAAAAACTGCAAGGTAATTTCAAAATGTGCAACATATGCATGATTCGAAAAACAGAAAGGGAGAACAGAGAAGAAAATAAATTTAACCAAGAATGGTCAAAAGTTATAGAGGAATCAGAATAAGAATTAGATCAGGCTTCTCTTTGGAAACCATATGAGCAAGAAAAGAGCAGAGTGACGTTTTTAAAGTATTAAAATTAAAATACCACCAACCTAAAATTCAATTTCCAGCAAAACTATCCTTCAAAAGTGAAAGTGAAATAAACACCTGAGGCAAGCAAAAATTGAGGGAATGTGTCACCACTTGTCTACCTTGCAAGAAATATTAAAAGTTCTGCAGAAAGAAGAAAAATTTTATGTGAGGAGCTCAGATCAACATAAACACAGGAAGGGGGTTAGAGAAGGGAAACATGAAGGTAAAACACAGTATCTTATTTTTCTTATTCTTAACTGATCTAAGTGAAAATTGAAGAAGTAAAAATAGCAATGTGTTGGGTGGTTATAGCATGTGGATGAGAGAAATGAATGGCAGCAATGTCATCAGGGAAGGGAGAGAAGACTCAGAAATAATCTGTTATAAGATACCATGACTATATGTCAAATAGTATAATATTTGAAAGTGAACTTATAGCCCGGCCAGGCATGGCTCAGTGGTTGAGTGTCCACCTGGGATCCAGGCGATCGGGGTTCGATTCCCAGTCAGGGCACATGCCCAGGTTGTGGGCTCAATCAATGACTCTCTCATCATTGATGTTTCTATCTCTCTCTCCCTCTCCTTTCTTCTCTCTGAAATCAATAAAGATATATTTTTAAAAAATAAGTGAACTTATATATACACACACACACACATACATACATATATATATAGCAAACCCCAAGGCAACCACAAAACCACTAAAAATGCCTTTTAAAAAATATAACAAATGCTAATAGAAAAGACAAAACAAATTTATATAAAATGCTCAGAACCAAGGAAGGCAGCAAAAGAGGGGGGGGGGAACGAAAAACACACACACAGATGTGATGAATAGAAAACAATTACAAGCATGGTAGATATTAACCCAACTACCACAATAATCACTTTAGATGTGACAAGTCTAAATATACCAGTTAAAATACGGAGATTTTCAGAATAAGTTTCAAAAAAGCAAGACTCAGCTCTATGTTGTCTGAAGAAATGCACTTCCAATAAAAAGACTCCAGTTAACAGTAAAGGGATGGAAACAGACATAACATGCTGATGCCCATCAAAAAGGCTGGAGTCACTATGTTCACTTCAGACAAAGGAGACTCGAGGACAAAGAACAGCGTCGAGCACAACAAACGAGGACCAATGCATGCCAATAAAGGGATCAATTCTCCAAGAAGACGTAACAGTAGTAAACATGCACGCACCTAACAACACAGCATCAGAAAACACAAAGCAAACACTGACAGACCTGCGAGGAGAAACAGACAAACCGGCTGTTATAATTCGAGGCCTCACCACTCTTTCCAATAATTGGCAGATCCAGTGGGCAGAAGATCAGTAAGGACACAGCTGACCTGAACAGCAAGAACATCAACTTGACTCACTGATACATCGACTGTTCCACCCAACAACGGTAGAAGACACGTTCCTCTAGCTCATGTGGAACATCTTAGGCCATAAAACACACCTTCACAGATCATAAAACAAAACAGAAATCATACACAGTAAGCTTTCCCATCAAAATGGGACTCATCCAGGAGTCACT